GTATAGTGCTCATATTATGGAAAGTTTGATGGACTTACTTTTACCATTTAATAATAGATATTGAATAGACCTTATTACTTCATGATGCAGGAGCTTCGTTTTATCATTATCTCAGTTCCCATCTTCAACTTATCTGCTGCAATTGCTGCTACTAGAGTGTATGTTCTGTCTATTTGTTTGGTTATCTAATCTAATTTGTTGGGAATTTTCTTCACACATAGAATCATATTGTTGCGTTACTTGTATGTTTACTCCTACATAAATAAAACCTGAATGCAAAATAGTACTACTATTGAGACTTATTCTTTGACCAAAAACTCTTCTCTAATTTTGCTCATATAGCTCTAGGCATTGGTTTCCAGAATAAAATTTTCTTTAACCAATTTAATGGTACTGCATCATTTGGCCTTTGGCTTAAAATCATACAAAAAATTAGTTTGGATTGTCATAAGGCGACCTTGGGAACTTTAAATTGCTCATCTTTTTCCTCTTTTTTTTTTTTTGGTTTCAATTACGGATACTAATGAATAAATAAATTCTGATTTTTACTTGCTACAGCTATAACAATAGGAAGAAGACTTATTGGAAGTTTCTCTATCCAATTATGCTCGGATTATTGTTGATCAGGTTAGATATTTATTTATTTTTGTTTCACTGGGAACAATAATCTGCTACCTCCTTGACTAATTTTATATTTTGTAGTCTAGGGTGCACCGTCATAACTTTCATGGCATCCAATGAGAATTATCCCAGTGGTCATGCTCTAAAACATTTGCATGTGACTGGTAATCTCTCTCTCTCTCTCAAACTGACGTGTCCTTCTTGTTACCTGCATTGCTTGATCTTTCCTCCCCAGTATTGACCATAGCCAGTATTTTAACTGTATTTCTCATCTCTTTGTTATGGTTGATCAATTGGATTATTTTTTATAATTTACAATTTTATTTTTTTGCTTTTACTATTAGCATCTTCTCAGATATCTCTTTATTGTGTTAGAAATTTAGCTGGTACCCTCTCGTTGTTGCTCCCATATGAATTAGAAATTATGTATTTGTTCCTTTTGGCTAGAATATGATGAGAAGTATTTTGACAGGCCAGTTTGCTAACAGTACAAATGAACTTTGGGTTCACATCGATACTTTTTCGGCCATGAATGGAATATCCCGCTTTTGTGAAAATAAGTTTCCATGGAGGTATATTTGATTTTCTCCTAGTTTTAACTTCCCTTATAACTTCTGATGGTCCTGTTAGCTATTTGTGAATTTTTTTTTCAGTTACAGCTATTTGAGAAATTAAGTGCTGATCCCGCTCCAACCGGGTGTCAGTGATATGTCCCGCTCTCTTTGGACCGGCATTTTGGAATTTAACAGTACAATTATAAAACTAACATTAAAAATGTAAAAGTTTTGGTTTCCATTTTATGCAACAGGATCTGGTTGGTAATAGCATATTTCTACAAATTATGCGCTTTTAAGTTTACTATTGGATGTATAAGCTGTGGAAGGTTTGTGTATCAGTTCATTTGACACGGTGCAGGTATTCTAAAGAAGAAGGGATTCCTCCAGAAGAATTATGCCAGAGAAATTTCACCTATCTTTTAAAGTGAGTTTTCCCATTGTCTTCTTTTTTCTCTGTCCAGAACATCCTTAAAATCAAATTTGTGAAGTCTGTTTATAAAAATTTCAGAACCGTTTTTTGAAGAATGTCTTTCATTCTCACATAACATAGGATTAAATAAGCATCCGAGACCAAAAAAAAAAAAAAAAAGCAGAGAGTTCCCTTTAGCAAAAACATTTTTGTGATTATTATTCTTCTAATGCTTATGTCCTTTCAAGGAATACATGTGATGTTCTCAGATTCAAACTTATGTTGTTTTACTTTTTGTGTTGATGCGCTCACTCTTGGTGTGTCTGATTTCATTCCTTTTATATATAACAGCGAACATCCTGCCATTGATGGATTTAAGTGTCTATTAGCTGAAAATGGTTTCTCACGGGTTCATTTAAGAACTGGCTTCCCCCCTATTTTACTGGTACAAAATTGATATAATTTCACCAAAATAGTTGCATGTTTGTATCAAAACCAGATGCTAACTACTTCATCCTTGCTCCAGGTTAAAGAGCCCAAGGTTTATATTCATGGAAATGTAAGAAACAAAGATGTCATGCATAGAAATTGGCCAGGCTGCTCATGACTTTGATGAGGTAAGCGTAGTGTGTGTTGAAACTTTTGTGAAGATGAATCATGGTCTCCTTTAAATTTAACTCTAATGTAATAACAGATATCTTCAGATATGATCCTTTGGCAGCCATGGCACCTCGACAAACTTATACTTATCAAGAAAACCTTCCTGCCTGATGACAAGAATCCTGTTTCTTATTAGAATGAAATACAGCTCCAAAAATATGCCATAGAACAAATTCAGTATCTACACCTGAGTGGGAAAGGAAATTTGAGAATTACAAGTGCTCGTTAATTTGTCTTCTAATATTTGCTTGTCTGACAAACAGTATAGCCATATCTCAGTAAAACATATTCTTATTTCTGACCTAATGCAATGTGTTAAATTTAACCTTGATTTGAGTATGAACAAGGACAAAGTTTGCTGTGTCTTGTTTCACACAAGTGTTGTAGGAACTTGTTTACACAATATTGGGGGACTGATCACCCTTTTCCCTTGTGAAATGGGAATTAGGCACAGAATAGTTAACAGATTTTATAGTTGGATTTCATTAGCCAACGTGAACAGATATTCTTACATATTGCACACTACTTTCTTTGATAATATACAGACATGTAAGGCATTTGCCATGGCCAAGTGTACATGAAAGAAAATTCCAAGTCTAAAGATATTATTGTGGCTTGAAAATCTCCAGTTGGAAATTCAATTATGACCTTTCATTTACGTAATGATTGAGACTTTGACAGAAAGCAACATAAGAAACCAAGTGAAAATTTCAGGGTCCCCTCGGGGATCAACTTGACTTTCTATGACAGAACAAACGAAGACTCTGTCATGGTGTCAAGGATCCTGAAGATTTTCTTGCTGCCAATTCCTGATGGAAAATCATAACTTTTTGTTTTGGCCAACAAAATGAGAAGGGTAATCATACCATTTTTCAGTAGAACTGGTCAATCTACCACCCGTCGTGAAATGACTCAAGGCTAAGCTAGATTTGTAAAGTTGAGGGGCCGAAGTAGAAAATACAAGTATATAAAACACTTAAGTATTCAATAATTACATGTTTAGGGTTAAATATTTCTAATTAAGTTATGTCTAATCTGTTTTCGAGGAAATTTTAACTTAAATTATAAGTTGTTTATTACAAATGTATATATTATATATAATATAATAGAGGAGAGATAAAAATCTGGGGGGCTATGGAAGGCCCTCAAAAGTGAGTTACGTGTTGAATACATGACTTTATTTGACGACATTTTAGATGGTTGCTAGGAATTTGGGGGTAGATTGACCAGTTTTGTATAGTTCATGGAAAATTAACTGAATAAAAGGGTCTGAGAGTTCATTTGATATCGTTCTGGGGCAAAACAGCATTATACTCAAATCAGAGCCTTATTTGGGCTCAGTTTTCTAGTCAAATTTGGAGAAAAGTCGTCAAGTCGTCGTACTGTTCAAAAGTCATCTCCGACCCATCTTCCTTGAAGTAGCTGGAGTCACTTATTCTTCTTGTCATCTTCATGTAACAATTAATTCAATGCATAATTTTCTTATATATCACAGAACATCCAATCCAAAAACATCAACAACTACTTCTTTCCAAAACCCTTCAATTCAAATTATTATACACCATATGGCTAGCTATGGCACCATGCAAAGGCCATCCACCACCTCAACATCAACACTTCCAACAACTACTCATCCCCATGAACCAAAAGACACAACCAGAAAAACCCGCAACGACTTCAAGCTCCTCTTCCCCTTCAACATCCCTGCAACCCCCGAAGCTGCCGCGGTTCGTATCATCCGAAACTTGGGCTATTTCCGATTGTATTACATACTCTTCATATGGACCATACTCTTCATAACCCTTCTGCCTAAGCGCAAAGTTTCCTTGATTTTCTTGGTGGCAATGACTGCTGTGACCTGCTTGTACCTTGTGCTATTAAGGGTAGTACCTAATTCTGTTGTGCTGCACAGGATCATTGATAGAAGACTGGTCCTGGCCTTGTTGGCCATTGTGACCATGGTTGAGCTCATACTTACCCTTGCAGCCCTTCATCTGTTTCTGACTTTAGGTTGTGGGACGCCAGTTGTTTTGGTTCATGCAGTTTTGAGGGTGAGAGATGATCTCTTTGTTGAGGAAGAGGCTTGTGCTGCTGGTGAATTAGTTCCACTCAGAACAACTAGTGAGCCCAAGTTATCTGATGCAGTGTGATAATTTTATGGATTCTAATTATGATTGAGAATTTGAGATCTTTTTTTTTTTTTGTAGCTTCTGAATTTGTGAGTTAGCCAATTTCTGTATCTGTTTATTAGCACCTAAATACAAAACAAGTTACTTATACCAAACAAGTTAGCAGTGCATTGAGAGAAATTGAGATTAGTTTACAAAATGTCTAACAATAAATACAACATTGAATATTGGTATATAGTTAGATCTTTACTGTATCTAAGAGACTGAGATTACTTTACTAACTTGGTGTTGGTCTAGTGACATTTAGATCATGGGTGATTCGATCCCAAAAAATAAAATTCATGGGCGAGAACGATGCTAAAATCAAACCGAACTGTCGATTTGGTATGATCGAAACTCGATCTTTTATACTCAAAACTCCTAATTTGGTGCACAAGTTTGATGATTTAGCTTTGTTATTTGCTCTACTTTAACTATAAATGAACTAAATAAATTCACAAAACAATTACCAAGTGGAAAAAAAAACTATATCTATCTTAAAAAAGGATAGATGTAAAAGAATACAAGAGAAAAGGGAAAATACTTTACAATAACAATAGGGCCTTGAAGTAATTTCACAAACTTTATCTTCCAGCGCATAGTCATCTCTGTTACCAAACCCAACCCACACTTCCCATTTTCATTGCTACATTCTTAACCCTCCAATAAACCCTCTACCAACACAAAATGCTCCTCCAAACTTCTGTGCACCACCACCACCACCACAACCTCCCTCTCTCCTCATCCCTCTCCTACTCCACTCTCCTCCCATGCAAAATTCCAACTTTGCCCCTCCCCAGTTCCATAAATTTACAAAGACTCCCCTCCATCTCCTGCTCCATATCCCAAGTCCACAACTATGGCACTGTGGACTACGAGAGAAGACCCATGGTCAAATGGAACGCGATATATCGGAAAATATCGCTCACGGATGACCCTGAAGTGCGCTCCGCTGACGTGTTGAACCAGTGGGAGAAGGAGGGCAGGAAGCTCACCAAGTGGGAGCTTTGTAGGGTGGTCAAGGAGTTGAGGAAGTACAAGCGCTATGACAGAGCTCTTGAGGTAAAAAGAAAAATTCAAGTGCAAAGTTTTTATTTTGGGTTCTTATTTGGTGGTTTTAGTTGGTGGGCATGCCATGTTTTTGTGGGGAAGTGCTTCAATTGCTCTGGTTGGGTGTCTCTCTGTTTTCATTTGGAATGGTTTGGTCTAATGGGATTTTAGGTTTTTGCTTCTTCTCTGGGTGTTTTCATGCTCCTGGGTAAACAGCTATATTGTGTTTTTGAGTGTTCTTTGCTTGATGGGTTTGTACTCGTATTGGTAGATATGAAACTTGTTGTCTAAATTGATTGGTATGTCTTGAGATTGCTCATATTGTAATGCATGTGGGTATAAATTGCAAATCACCAAGTATAACATGATTGCACAATAGAAGAATTTCTAAAAAAGAATGTTTTAATTAGAGGCCAACTCTTACAACAGTGAATATAACTTCAAACTTTCAGTAAACTTCTCTCATTACCTTTTAGTGAATGTAAATCAAACCCTCAGGTTTTCGTCTGAAGCCAATAGTTCAAAATGAAAAAGTAACCTACTTACAAAGTTGGTGTATATAAGAGGGGCTCTTGCACCATAGCGAGGGTATTGATCGATTTTGAAATGAAGCGAGAGAGATTGGGAATTTAGCTCTGAATGACTTGGAGAAGTCTGAGGATAGAGGTGGTAAAATAGTGAAGTTCACCAGGTCTGCAATATTTTAGAATTGGAGACCCAAGAGTTGAGCATTTGTTTATAGAACGCACCCTTGGAGTGGCTGCAGGAGCAAGATGGGAAAGTACTATATAAAAAGAGCAACTTGAAAGTGCGTAAATGCATGCCGCTTGGTATACATATACATGTTATCAGGTTTAAAACTAATTACAATCTGTTTTGGGTGGACACTTTGTATATCTACTATTAATACTTTAGGTTGAATTACAACTGAATTATCAATTGACTGGTAGGGTAATCAAACAGTTAATCAATGCAGATAATATGTAACCTATGTTTGAACTCAAAGGCAGAGAAAATGAGATTTAATTGATATCCACTTTTGCACTGGATGGACAATGAGAATGCAATGCAGCTGTTATTGATGCTGATATTGTTATTAACCTCAATTGTAGATAAACTGATGCAGCTGTGACTTAGGTTTGGGTGTGATGAATTTGGTAACTGAGGTTGATCTAAGAAGATAAGTAGAATGATAGAATAAAAATCACGAGGCAGTGCAATTGTGTTCATAAAGCCAACATTAAGGCTCCTTGAATGTTTCTGCTTTGTCATCATAAGTGTGTGTTCCAATACGTGTTCAATGGTATAATGCTCTTGACAAGTGTAACTAGCTCACAGTCATCTTTCTGTTCTAGACTTCTAGTACTGTTCCTGCTATTTAGGTTGCTTGCTGCTGACCTTTATCTATTAAGCAATGGTCCTTTTATTTATTTCAGTTGTGTTCCATGACATGGCATATCTTTATTTTATGTTTTTGGACTGATGACATGTCTAATAAGCAGTTTTGAATTTGCGTGCACCCTGCAGGTGTATGATTGGATGAGCAACAGAGGAGAGAGGTTTAGAATATCCACAAGTGATGCTGCAATTCAACTAGATTTAGTTGCTAAAGTTCGGGGAGTTGCTAGTGCTGAAAATTACTTCCTGAGCCTGCCAGATACTTTAAAAGACAGGAGAATATATGGGGCTCTGCTCAATGCCTATGTTCGCACTAGAATGAAAGAGAAGGCAGAATCTTTGCTTGATAAAATGAGAAGTAAAGGTCATGCGCTGCAATCGCTTCCATTTAATGTAATGATGACTCTCTATATGAACCTCAAGGAGTATGATAAAGTTGATTCGATTATTTCTGAAATGATGGAGAAAAACATCCAGCTTGATATATACTCCTACAATATCTGGTTATCATCTCGTGGCTCCCAAGGATCTGAAGAACGGATGGAACAGGTATTTGAACAGATGAAACTGGACAGAACCGTTAATCCCAACTGGACGACTTTCAGCACGATGGCTACAATGTACATCAAGATGGGGCAGCTTGAAAAGGCTGAAGCTTGCCTGAAGAAGGTTGAGAGTAGAATCACAGGTCGTGATCGGATACCTTATCATTATCTTTTAAGTCTCTACGGTAATGTTGGCAACAAAGAGGAGCTTTGTCGGGTATGGAACATATACAAATCAAGTTTTCCCAGTATTCCAAATTTGGGATACCATGCTATCATGTCTTCGCTACTCAGAGTAGATGATGTTGAAGGGGCAGAGAAGATTTATGAGGAATGGTTGACGGTTAAGTCAACTTACGACCCTCGAATTGCAAATCTTTTCATAGCTTCTTATATTAAAGACGGGGACTTTGAGAAAGCCCAAAGTTTCTATGACCACATGGTTGATGTAGGAGGAAAACCTAATTCGAGTACATGGGAGACCCTTGCTGAAGGGCATATTGAAGAGCAGAGAATTTCTGAGGCATTATCCTGCTGGAAAGAAGCTTTTTCTGCCGAGGGATCAAAGAGTTGGAGGCCAAAGCCCGTAAATGTGTCTGCCTTCCTTGAACTCTGTGAGCAAGAAGCCAATTCGGTAAGCAAAGAGGTTTTCATGGGACTTTTGAAGCAGTCAGGACAGCTTAAAAATAAGTCATATGCATCACTTATAGGCTTAGCTGATGAAGATGATGATGATCTATCATTAAAGAAAGATAGAACTAACATTACAAAGGACGATGATGATGAGAAAGAAGCGGGTGATGGGTCCGAATTGCTTTTGAACGAATTGCAGGGTACTACCCTGTGAGACTTCTTTCTTCAATGTGTTGGAAGATCTGCTCTATGTTGTCCGCACAGGGAAAGATTTTTAACTGAAATGGGCTCCTACCTTTTTCGTGGTATTGATGAAGTACTATGGTTGCATTCTGTCTGTAGTAGCTGGGTGTATGCAAGTTGACAAGTTGGAAGTGCCTTCGTATCAGAGTGCGTTTAGACTACTCTGCAGAAGAATATCTTGGCAATTGGTGTGACAAGAGAAAGCCCATCTCCACTCATCTTATGCGTGAGAGGTATGTGAAATTCTTCATGTAATTTTTGAGCAGCTTAAAGGGCAAGAAGTTTTTGTTTGTGTAGCTATGCACGATGCTAACCTGACTAAAAGGAAGAAAAGACAAGTTATGAGATTCATATGTATAAACTCCTATAGTATATAGTTTTTCAGTTTCTGTTCAAATTCGTATAAATTATGGTTATGTTGTTCTCTCATTTACCCTAAAGTTTATTGCTACTGTATGCCTTTTAATTTATGTATTTTATTTGAATATGCCTTTCAGAATTAGAAATTTGTATAATTCATCATTCAGGCTACATAAAAAAGACCGCATCCGAAAGCTGTGCAAACAAGTGAAAAAACACTTTGTATTTGCCACGCCGCATTAGTTTCACCATCAAATGTGGTCTATGCGGCATTATTTTTTCTGATTGTTCTACTGAGTGGTTCTCAATGATCATTTGGTTTCGTGGCATCCAATCTTCCCTTTGTTCGCAGAAGTTTTGAGTTTAAATCTCATGTACGACAATTGTTAATTAATAAAAACGAGAACATTTAAAGTGGTGTAATGAGCTTTATTAACTCACTTAGGGGGTGCAAATCCAACTTTAAGATATGAAGTAAACCAAAAGTGACTAGGGAGAATTGAAGTTTTCATGGTAAAGGAACAAGTTAAAGCCGCTAATATATCATGGATTTCACAACTAATGAGCACCATATTATTATTCACCATCTGCATCTCAAGATGATTCTTAAAATTTCCCACATGGGAAAAAGGTGCAAAACAATTCCTATGAGGGACTAAATTAAAAATTATTCTTCCCCCCATAGGTTTGGCCAAATTGCCAATCTCCAGGAGCAACATTATCAAACTCAAGTGTTCTCCCATTACTTGTAGTCACTTGAAACGACAAGCTTTGCCCTACCATGTTGCTTCCAATCTGCCAAATTTGGCCCCAATTTCGTGACATTTGAAGCCAATCAGTCTTAGACCCTCTGATTCTGACACTTGTCACATCCCCAGCACCACCAACATTGTACACTAAAACAGCAAGCCAAAAAGGGTTTCCTTTGAGCTCAAACTTAACCCCTCCTTTTTTAGAGCAAGAGACTCTTCTATATTTGATAGGAATTATGCCAGCTTTGGCCTGTGCAAGCTTTGTGAACATAGCCATGGACAAGTCAAAGTGTTTCATTGGAGGATTGCACCAATGGTCAGGAGCTGGATCCCAATTTGGTGGACAGAAATTGGTTGCTGTGATTTTGATTGTGCCAGAATTTGGTATGCACCATTGTGGATCATCTACACACATGACCTCAAAGCAAGCACCACAATTAAGCCCGTTGTTGAATAGTGCTGTGCTTAGAGCTGTTGTCTCCAAGCCGTAGCCTTGTTGGAAGAGATCACCATATCCACAAGCCCCCTCTGTTCAATTAACAATCGCAATAAGTTAATTAAAACTCGATCATTATCTCATTTTACATATCAAATACTTGATTATATACACCTTCCTCTCATATTATGTACATCACTACGTGTTGTACCATTGTGAGGGAGAGGTTATGTATGCAACCGGCGGATGCATACACAAATTATGTTCTTCACTTACGCATGGTTTCTGATCCGCCCATATCACCATAAAACGTTGCGTGTGCGTTGTCCCAGTCATTGTCTGCGCCGTTTGCACCAAACACCTTCCTCTCATATTATGTACATCACTACGTGTTGTACCATTGTGAGGGAGAGGTTATGTATGCAACCGGCGGATGCATACACAAATTATGTTCTTCACTTACGCATGGTTTCTGATCCGCCCATATCACCATAAAACGTTGCGTGTGCGTTGTCCCAGTCATTGTCTTCGCCGTTTGCACCAATGGTGATTTTCTTGCCCATGGCTTGAGCCAAAAGAGTGATCATGAACACTGCCCATGTAAACAAGTTCTGAAACTTAGCCATGGCTATATGAGAATGAGAGAAACTTGAATTCTATTGTATTTCTACACACACCCACACACACACATTTATATACAGAGATGTATATAGTCGTCATCATGAATATCCCTTTTCCACGTGTAATTAGATTGGTGTGTTTGTTGGTAAATCAAAACATGCAAGCAAGGTCCAATAAAGGTCTTTGGAATCATCCTAAACCATATTCATGCTATGGCAGTAACTTATTAAATACACAATTAATGTTAAACTTGGTTGGTAATGCCTTATATCCAGTGCTGCAAGTGATGCCAAATTTAAAATGAACCACATTTAAGGTCCATGCCCATAATCAGCAAATCTGAGGTGGATATCATTATCTGGCTGGTAATTTGTACCAAGTATAAGTAGGGAGATCTGTTTCCTTTCCTTTTTCCTATTAATTTAATTTTGTTTAAACTGAATAAGTTATATTCAATAAACAGTGTTGCTCATAGGTTGGCACGTTTTGATCCTGATATTGCTCATGAATTTTTTTATAGTACAAACGATAGTCTAACAACAAAGATGTCATAGGAGTTCGAACTTGAGACCTTTGGTGTGCAAGTCAAGACCCTTTTTCCATTGGGATAGACCCTGCTGGCGCTTTTCCATTGCTATCATGATCTTATTTGATTCGAGGAACCTTTTGATTTAATTCAGGATCTTTGATTTCAGGATTGTTTGGTTTCTTAAGTTTTCAAAGTTTCAATAAGTGAAAAAAGTGATTTAATTTAGGATCTTTTATTTTAGAATTGTAATTTGTATGGTTCCTTAAGTTCGTTCAATAAAACTATCTTTTCAAAAGTTCAATAAATGAAAAATCTGAATAAATCCTAATAATTAGTTTGATGAGAAAATATCCTTTAGAAATCATACATGCTCCTCTGAAAAAAGGATTAAACATGCTCACAATTAACAATTATAATCTTTAACAAATGATGAGGAACTACACTTCAAGTCATCTTCTTGATGGAACAATGAATTACTACTCACGAAGACTAAGGCTCCATTTGATTGAAATTGACAACGAAGCTATACGTACATTTGCTATATATAAAAAACTAGAAAACATTATATTCAATATGTATTCGAAATAACTAAATGTAATACATTTGGAATGGATTTAGAATGACTATATGTCAGGAGTCATTTGAAATCCATTTGTTCTCTTCATTTTATTTTTATTCTAAAGTATGGTATATACGGACTATAATCTTACAATGTAGTATTGTAATGTCGTATTCAATTTGGAACCATTCCATCCAAATATACCGTAATAGTGATTTCCTTGTTCAAAATGTATATGAGATTATGAAAATGGAGCTTTAACCTTTCAAAAAGTTAGCCAATACACCCACAAAAGGTGCATTGATGTATGTGGTTGGCTCCGATTGTGGAACATTGGATCGAGAATCTTCAAATGTATCATCCTCGGCAGGCCCTCCCACAATTGCACCTACTAATATGTTAGGGTTTGGATCGTTGCTTTTGAAATACAAGTCTCCTTCATGGCACTGCATGTGTTGTAGGTGATTTTCCATGGAAGGATTGACTGAGCCACGGTGATGTATTTTCCGAGGAAAGTTTTGCCCATATCCCACCATATATGACATCCCTAGTGGGTTGCTTCCTAGTATATAATCAACCTGCATTAATATTACCAACTAAATGTCAGCCAACAATAAGAATGAATCAATATTTGTACGTATATGCTTTCTTTTCGAAAATATGTTTTTAGACTGTAAATCTAAATCACACATTTCACGTTATGTACCTGTCTTTTGGTGAAATTCACTAGACTAGCTGGAGTGACAACGAAATTATTGCCACAATCGATCACTTTGTTGGAAGCTTTCATGTAGCCAGCATAAGCCATAAGAAGAAATGATAGGGATGTTGAATGTTGCAGGTTACTTCCTCCAGGCTTGAACAAGAGTCCACCTAATATCAAAATACAAAAACAAGAAGAGAAGATTATGTGACTTCTTATACATGTTTTGAATATCGTACGATTTTAATTCGCATTAATTTGGAAAAATAACATGACATATTATTCTAGCAAGCTTTAGTAGGTCTGTTTTAGGCAACTACCTGGTGAATAGGTGACTGATTTTTGAGCAGGTGATTGAGGCAAAATAGAGCAGACAAGCTGGTCTGCCTTGGGAATAAAGGGATTAGCATTGTTGGGATCAGTCATTACCCACTGCAAAAAATAATGAATTAAAGAAGAAAATTAAGCTAGCTTCAACATATATGTACAAATATAAGGTTCACTATCTATATATCAAAACATAAGAGATCAAGAAAATAATGTTCTAGATTGAAAACTCGAAGAACACTTATGTCAGTTTCCTATGCACACGTGCGTCAAAAAAGAATATGATTCGGGCCATCTGACGCACACAAACGACTGACCTTAACACTACTCTTGAAAACTCACCTGAGAAACAAGTATGTTGATGCCGGCATGTTTTGAATCCCATCCAAATTCAGTGACATCACCAGTTAAGGACGTAACAAGAATGCCATTTATATTTCTTACTACAGTGGGTCCCAAAAAGTGTATGTTGTTTTTGACATAGTCCCAATATTGTGGTATCTTAGTTGCCTTGTATAACCACGCAGCTCCCCAAAGCAATTCATCCTGCAAACAAGTAATTACTTGTGTATCAAAATTCTGTTTTAGTTATTTTAATACAGCACAATATGAAAAATTAGACCAGTACTTAAAATTTGGAAAATAAATAATTAGGATCACATAAGTGTACCTTGTAGCCACTGAAATCACAGTAAAAAGGGCAAGCTCCATCACCAATACTGTCATTGTAAGACCCCCTATACTTATCTGCGAATTCAAACACCTAATATCCATACATGGAACAAATTATTAGTCCCAAAGTTTTAATATATATATATATAAACGGAAATTTAAGAAACTTTATGATTCGCTGATGCTCATGTTAGACTGTGAATCTGAACTATTGATTAGATTGATTCTTGTCTGAATGTGCAGTACAGATTTGTGCATAACATAAGTCTGTAAGAGAAGAGAACATTGCATACCTGGATAGATCGGTTAAGCAGAGAAGCTGAGTAGAATTTGTCTGAATCTTTAAACACCATGGAAGAAGCTGCCAGTGCAGCTGCAGTCTCAGCTGCAACCTCTGATCCTGGCTTTTCTTTGTTGACAACATAAGTGGTTCGAGGGGTGTTCATGTCTTCAGGCCTTTCCCAACAAGTGTGGTCGCCAT